GGTTGTAACGCTAATGAACAGGCCCATAGGTTAATTAATCTAATTGATCTAATTACTTTAATTGACCTAGTGTCCGTATGGGTCAACCCACACCAGTAGTAATCATCGGCGACCCGGATGTCGCTAAACAGGCATTTTCTCGGCCAGAATTCATGGCACGACTGGACATATCATTGTGTACGTTGACAACAGAATTACATCATGATAATTTTACAATGAACTTGTATTGTTTTTAGCGAGTAACAATATTGACCACCAGGATGTTTTATTTTGCTCACACCTGTTCAGTTGGGACTGTTTGCACAAAGTCGCTCACACGGCAGTCAGGTATGCTGTTACTATTAAACAAGTTACGAGTGTCAATATTAATTGTAACATGAAATCAGTATTACCATTAAATTTTACATATTAAGTGAAAACTTTATTTTTCTATGAGTTTCATAGATTTAATGTTAAAAATATTTTTAAAATCCTTAATCCTTAACTGGCTAACCAATTCATGGACAATCCAGGTCATTTCTGGGCTTCTAATCAGACTATTTATAGCATAATTGTGTTATCATTTTTAGTCCAAAATTGTAGAAATGTTTAGACTAGAGTTAAACTAAAAATGTCCAACAAATTTGCTCATTGACAAATAAATAGCAATGATCTTGCTGACATATCAATACTCAATACAGTATTTTTAAAATTTGTTTAAAATATTTCAATTTAATTTTGATAAATTTAAGCAAGTTTAAATCTATGTGGTATTTGTTTTATTTACTAATAGAGAATCGGTTTAACTAAAGTGTTTAACTAAAAATTAATTATATTTTACACAAATTACATATTTGTATTCATTTGCGTTAGGCGTCAGCATATCTCACATATTCTACTTTACATTCTATGAATAAATGCAATAATGATTGAATTTGTAATTTGTCCTGGTGCATGTATTATAAATCAAATGTCATAATTAAAATTCTTAAAATCTGTTGTATTGTTCTGAAAACGCGATTCACTTCTCCAGCACAACAAAACTGATGCAGTGTTTGCTTTCAATTCATTAACCAATTACTAAATCAATTATTAATGTTTGCTATTTTCAAATAAAACTAACCCAATTATTATTTAATTATTTTTAATTTATTATAGTTATATTACATATTTATTATAACATTAGGCAGACATTTTTCTCTAAAAATTTTGTTGAATTTAAGGCTTATCTACTCGTAACTAGTAATTAATAATTAAAATCGGTAGTTCAAAGTAGTTTTTGAAAATGTATAAATATATTAATTATTGAGTATTATTAATAAGTATAAGTATACTATATTTAGTTGGCTGACAATTCACTCATATGAAAATAAG